TCACTACTGCTAGGATGGGTGTCACTACTGCTAGGATGGGTGGCACTACTGCTAGGATGGGTATCACTACTGCTAGGATGGGTGTCACTACTGCTAGGATGGGTGGCACTACTGCTAGGATGGGTGTCACTACTGCTAGGATGGGTGGCACTACTGCTAGGATGGGTGGCACTACTGCTAGGATGGGGTGTCACTACTGCTAGGACGGGTGTCACTACTGCTAGGATGGGTGGCACTACTGCTAGGATGGGTATCACTACTGCTAGGACGGGTGTCACTACTGCTAGGATGGGTGGCACTACTGCTAGGATGGGGTGTCACTACTGCTAGGACGGGTGTCACTACTGCTAGGATGGGTGGCACTACTGCTAGGATGGGTGTCACTACTGCTAGGACGGGTGTCACTACTGCTAGGATGGGTGGCACTACTGCTAGGATGGGTATCACTACTGCTAGGATGGGTGTCACTACTGCTAGGATGGGTGGCACTACTGCTAGGATGGGTGTCACTACTGCTAGGATGGGTGGCACTACTGCTAGGATGGGTGGCACTACTGCTAGGATGGGGTGTCACTACTGCTAGGACGGGTGTCACTACTGCTAGGATGGGTGGCACTACTGCTAGGATGGGTATCACTACTGCTAGGATGGGTGTCACTACTGCTAGGATGGGTGGCACTACTGCTAGGATGGGTATCACTACTGCTAGGATGGGTGTCACTACTGCTAGGATGGGTGTCACTACTGCTAGGATGGGTATCACTACTGCTAGGATGGGTGTCACTACTGCTAGGATGGGTGGCACTACTGCTAGGATGGGTAGCACTACTGCTAGGATGGGGTGGGTGGCACTACTGCTAGGATGGGTGTCACTACTGCTAGGGTGGGTGGCACTACTGCTAGGATGGGTGGCATTAATGCTAGGATGGGTGGCACTACTGCTAGGATGGGTGGCACTACTGCCAGGATGGGTGTCACTACTGCTAGGATGGGTGTCACTACTGCTAGGACGGGTGTCACTACTGCTAGGATGGGTGGCACTACTGCTAGGATGGGTATCACTACTGCTAGGATGGGTGTCACTACTGCTAGGATGGGTGGCACTACTGCTAGGATGGGTATCACTACTGCTAGGATGGGTGTCACTACTGCTAGGATGGGTGTCACTACTGCTAGGATGGGTATCACTACTGCTAGGATGGGTGTCACTACTGCTAGGATGGGTGGCACTACTGCTAGGATGGGTAGCACTACTGCTAGGATGGGGTGGGTGGCACTACTGCTAGGATGGGTGGCACTACTGCTAGGATGGGTGTCACTACTGCTAGGATGGGTGTCACTACTGCTAGGGTGGGTGGCACTACTGCTAGGATGGGTGGCATTAATGCTAGGATGGGTGTCACTACTGCTAGGATGGGTGTCACTACTGCTAGGATGGGTGGCACTACTGCTAGGATGGGTGGCACTACTGCTAGGATGGGGTGTCACTACTGCTAGGACGGGTGTCACTACTGCTAGGATGGGTGGCACTACTGCTAGGATGGGTATCACTACTGCTAGGATGGGTGTCACTACTGCTAGGATGGGTGGCACTACTGCTAGGATGGGTATCACTACTGCTAGGATGGGTGTCACTACTGCTAGGATGGGTGGCACTACTACTAGGATGGGTAGCACTACTGCTAGGATGGGTGGCACTACTGCTAGGATGGGTGGCACTACTGCTAGGATGGGTGTCACTACTGCTAGGATGGGTGTCACTACTGCTAGGATGGGTGGCACTACTGCTAGGATGGGTGGCACTACTGCTAGGATGGGGTGTCACTACTGCTAGGACGGGTGTCACTACTGCTAGGATGGGTGGCACTACTGCTAGGATGGGTATCACTACTGCTAGGATGGGTGTCACTACTGCTAGGATGGGTGGCACTACTGCTAGGATGGGTATCACTACTGCTAGGATGGGTGTCACTACTGCTAGGATGGGTGGCACTACTGCTAGGATGGGTATCACTACTGCTAGGATGGGTGTCACTACTGCTAGGATGGGTGGCACTACTGCTAGGATGGGTAGCACTACTGCTAGGATGGGGTGGGTGGCACTACTGCTAGGATGGGTGTCACTACTGCTAGGGTGGGTGGCACTACTGCTAGGATGGGTGGCATTAATGCTAGGATGGGTGGCACTACTGCTAGGATGGGTGGCACTACTGCCAGGATAGGTATCACTACTGCTAGGATGGGTGGCACTACTGCTAGGATGGGTATCACTACTGCTAGGATGGGTATCACTACTGCTAGGATGGGTATCACTACTGCTAGGATGGGTGTCACTACTGCTAGGATGGGTATCACTACTGCTAGGATGGGTGTCACTACTGCTAGGATGGGTGTCACTACTGCTAGGATGGGTGTCACTACTGCTAGGGTGGGTGGCACTACTGCTAGGATGGGTGGCATTAATGCTAGGATGGGTGGCACTACTGCTAGGATGGGTGGCACTACTGCCAGGATAGGTATCACTACTGCTGGGATGGGTATCACTACTGCTAGGATGGGTGGCACTACTGCTAGGATGGGTGGCACTACTGCAAGGATGGGTGGCACTACTGCTAGGATGGGGTGGGTGGCACTACTGCTAGGATGGGTGGCACTACTGCAAGGATGGGTGGCACTACTGCTAGGATGGGGTGGGTGGCACTACTGCTAGGATGGGTGTCACTACTGCTAGGATGGGTGGCACTACTGCTAGGATGGGTGGCACTACTGCTAGGATGGGATGGGTGGCACTACTGCTAGGATGGGTGGCAGTACTGCCAGGATAGGTATCACTACTGCTAGGATGGGTGGCAGTACTGCTAGGACGGGTGTCACTACTGCTAGGATGGGTGGCACTACTGCTAGGATGGGTGGCAGTACTGCTAGGACGGGTGTCACTACTGCTAGGATGGGTGTCACTACTGCTAGGATGGGTGGCACTTCTGCTAGGATGGGTGTCACTACTGCTAGGATGGGTGGCACTACTGCTAGGATGGGTGTCACTACTGCTAGGATGGGTATCACTACTGCTAGGATGGGTGGCACTACTGCTTGGATGGGTGGCACTACTGCTAGGATGGGTGGCACTACTGCTAGGACGGGTGGCAGTACTGCTAGGACGGGTGTCACTACTGCTAGGATGGGTGTCACTACTGCTAGGATGGGTGGCACTACTGCTTGGATGGGTGGCACTACTGCTGGGATGGGTGGCACTACTGCTTGGATGGGTGGCACTACTGCTAGGATGGGTGGCACTACTGCTAGGATGGGTGGCACTACTGCTAGGATGGGTGGCACTACTGCTTGGATGGGTGGCACTACTGCTAGGATGGGTGGCACTACTGCTAAGATGGGTGGCACTACTGCTAGGATGGGTGGCACTACTGCTAGGATGGGATGGGTGGCACTACTGCTGGGATGGGTAGCACTACTGCTAGGATGGGTGTCACTACTGCTAGGATGGGTGGCACTACTGCTAGGATGGGTGGCACTACTGCTAGGATGGGGTGTCACTACTGCTAGGATGGGGTGTCACTACTGCTAGGATGGGTAGCACTACTGCTAGGATGGGGTGTCACTACTGCTAGGATGGGTGGCACTACTGCTAGGATGGGTGTCACTACTGCTAGGATGGGTGTCACTACTGCTAGGATGGGTATCACTACTGCTAGGATGGGTGTCACTACTGCTAGGATGGGTATCACTACTGCTAGGATGGGTATCACTACTGCTAGGATGGGTGTCACTACTGCTAGGGTGGGTGTCACTACTGCTAGGATGGGTGTCACTACTGCTAGGATGGGTGTCACTACTGCTAGGATGGGTATCACTACTGCTAGGATGGGTAGCACTACTGCTAGGACGGGTGTCACTACTGCTAGGATGGGTGGCACTACTGCTAGGACGGGTGTCACTACTGCTAGGATGGGTGGCAGTACTGCTAGGACGGGTGTCACTACTGCTAGGATGGGTGGCACTACTGCTAGGATGGGTGGCACTACTGCTAGGATGGGTGGCACTACTGCTAGGATGGGTGGCACTACTGCTAGGATGGGTGTCACTACTGCTAGGATGGGTGGCACTACTGCTAGGATGGATATCACTACTGCTAGGATGGGTGGCACTACTGCTAGGATGGGTGGCACTACTGCTAGGATGGGTATCACTACTGCTAGGATGGGTATCACTACTGCTAGGATGGGTGTCACTACTGCTAGGATGGGTGTCACTACTGCTAGGATGGGTGTCACTACTGCTAGGATGGGTATCACTACTGCTAGGATGGGTGGCACTACTGCTAGGATGGGTGTCACTACTGCTAGGATGGGTATCACTACTGCTAGGATGGGTATCACTACTGCTAGGATGGGTGGCACTACTGCTAGGATGGGTGGCACTACTGCTAGGATGGGTGGCACTACTGCTAGGATGGGTGGCACTACTGCTAGGATGGGTGGCACTACTGCTAAGATGGGTGGCACTACTGCTAAGATATACTTTGAGGGTTGGTCCGAATCAAAGAAGTATGATCTTGCAACACGAGGCAAAAATGGTTGAAACGATGTCTCTGAGAAGTGCTGTAATAACCCGACTGGAAGTTAATCAGAGGTTTCAATTCATTGATTGGACGACCGTTTACTTTGTATGCAGATATTTATCTTTTGTTACGTTTTCACCGTCACTCATTTTTAAAGCTGTATTTGAGAAGAAAAAATAATCACAATTACATACCGTGGGTTTCAAATACAATTTAACACTTTCAAATATATCGGTAATGTAGCTTGCCACAGTTGGATTATCTCCATATTTCACATTTACTTATACTGTTGCCGCAATAATTTTGTATATCAAATTTTGTCATATACTGTATTTTCTGCATAGGTTGTATATATAGCATCATTAGAAGCTGATTTGAAGAATATATGTATTTATCCCGGTTGTGTTTGTGTCTTCTAATTCAGAGGTCTGTCCGGCGACAGTATTCCAAGTATGTCATGCCGAGCGTCTCCAACAGTTAACAAACATCTCAAGGTCGGTTACTCAAGTTTCATGGAAATCTGTGTCTTTTGGTTAGTGCTTGTGGATGGGCATTCAGCTGTTAAAGCTTTCGTTTGTCACACCGAGGGCGGGCTTTAATTCTCTTCATGGACAGTGTGGGAAGCTCAGTTATAATCTGTACTCATTTTAACTTGAAGTAAAATGGACTCAGCGGACATGGAAGGAAACTGGAACGTTGGTTGGTTTGTTGTTTTTCACCGCACTCAGCAATAGTCCAGCTACATGACGGCGGTCTGTAAATAATCGAGTCTGAACCAGACAATCCAGTGATTGACATCATGAGCATCGATCCACGCAATTGGTATCGACGACATGCTTCAACCAAGTCAGCGAGCTTTACAACCCGATCCCGTTAGTCGCCTCTTACGACAAGCATGGAATTATGACCAAAAACATCCAGAAATTGATTTTTATTATGTTTTGACAACTGATGTGATAGTTAATTATATGTGCATGTATACTTTATATATGAATATCGTATCAAATGAAATGTCATGTATTGCTTCTATTTGCAGAGGTCCTTGTCAGATTTGATGGCTAAACTGTCTCAAGCCCAGCCGCTGTTTGTCAGGTAAAACAAAACTACTTGCATATTTTCTGAAAACACCCTTTTTAATAAACTTCAATAGACGTATGTACCGTCGCATGACATGCATTGTGTGACATTCAAACCATTAAATTAAATGTTAAATCTACAGATGCCTCAAGCCCAACAAAAACCTCTCTCCAGCCAAGTTTGACATAACACTGGTCCGTAGACAGTTGCTATGCAACGGTTTGATGGAGATTGCACAGCTTCGTAGGGACGGCTATCCAATCAGAGTTCGATATGAGGATTTCGCCGAAAGGTAAGTGTCATTTATTCTAACAAAGATTCATTGTGATTTACATAGGATGTCATAAACCTTCACTAACTTCATGACCTTCACAAATGTCATACACATATACATACAACACGACATCACACGGAAGTCCGGGTTAAAACTGGTCTTCAACAACCCACGCTTGTCATTAAAGGCGACTAACGGGATTGGGTGGTCAGACTCACTGACTTGGTTGACACATGTTAACGATTCCCAATTGCGAGGACAGATGCTCATGATATCAATCACTGGATTATCTGGTCTATACACTAGTATTTACAGAATGTGTACCTGCATATTATCTTAGTTTAGTTCAGCGTCTTTTTTCTTTTCTATATAAAGTATCTTATATGTGCATGAGAACGGAGTCCTTGAAATACATCCGATATTAGTTATTTATATGAATGGTAATATCAATTTTAAAGCCATTTTGTAATTGACCGTGTTCTATTATATATCTCACGGTATCAATTTTTTTTGTATTCGAAGTTGAAACAAAACTTAATTCAGGGTCAGAGGTTTAAACAAATGTACGAAATGTTCCGTGTAAACGTCAGTCACCCAAAGCTATTTATCTTATGCTTTGGATGAATAATTGCATTGGGATTGACAAAGTGACGAATGAATTTATTCATGCATAAAAAATGTTTGGAATATATTACATGCCCACATTAACATGAAGATCTTACGGAAGCTTAGTAGGGCCACGGTGAAATGTTTTTTGTCTAAGTATCTCCTACGTAGGACTTATTATCTTCTACGTAGGACTTAGTATATCCTACGAAGGACTTATTATGTCCTACGTAGGATTTACTATGTCCTACGTAGGACTTACTATCTCACACGTAGGACTTACTATCTCCTACGTAGGACTTAGTATGACCTAGAATTACTATCTCCTACGTAAGACTTAGAATCTCCTACGAAGGAGATAGGCAGTCCTACGTGGGAGATAATAAGCCCTACGTAGGAGATACTAAGTCGTACGTAGGAGATATTGATTCTAGGGCCATACTAAGTCCTACGTAAGAGATAGTAAGTCCTAAGTACGAGATAGTAAGTCCTACGTAGGAGATAGTAGGTCCTACGTAGGAGATAGTAAGTCCTACGTAGGAGATACTAAGTCCTACGTAGGAGATAATAAGTCCTACGTAGGAGATACTTAGACACACAAAAAAATTCACCGTGGCCCTACTACGCTTCCGTAAGATCTTGCCCTGGAAGATTGTCTGGAAATATTTAAGTTATAGACCCCTATTCCCCGACTTCTGTCCAGTTTCATCATAACCAGCTGGTGCTTGTCGCCTTTGACTGAAGGGTTGTTCAAATTTAATCTAAATATTAGTATTACAATCATCACAGTCATGCTTGTAAATGTAAATTCTCTATTGAATGTAGCGCATCTTCAAAACTCACCGATACACAATTATTATTATTCAAACATTTATACATACAAACGTTATACGTTAAAGTTATGTGCTGCTATGCAAATGAGAATATGACCAAAATAACTTTAACGTTTCTATAGGGAAACAACGTAACATATTTGTTGATTTGTGTGAGTAACTCTACAATTGTGTGGGTTGGAAAATCTGAAATGTCCTGTACTGGATGTAAGGTATAGTCGGATGATGATGTAGCCGGTTCTCACATCCGTAAAGGATACAATGAGGGTTTAAATAGTACCCCGGGGCGGCCCAGGCACTAGGCGTGTGTGGACTGTCACATACACGGACACAGGGACGTGATTCATGGAGTGTCCACAAAACAAAAGTAACAAACCATTATTTAAGTGAGTATTCATATGTGGAGGGTGTTGGCATCGTGCTGAATATCTTGTTATTCCGCTATTTTTATAGTCAGTGAAGTTTCACTTTATAATTGTCATAGTTTTCTGAAAATGGTTTAACATGCCACCTAATTCCAATCAAATATTTAAGAATAATGTAAGCTTAAGTTGCGCTCATCTCATAAAAAATACAGTAAACTACGTTTATAACGAACACGCCTATAACGAACTAACAGATATAAAGAACTGGTCTTTTTCCCCTATCCATTTACTGTTTATATGCTGTGTGTATGCATATAACGAACTACGAATATAACGAACTAAAATTAGTGGTCCCCTTGAGTTCGTTATAACCGTAGTTTACTGTATATTGATAAGAGAAACATTTGTAACATTCTCTGGACAAAGATCTCAACTGATTATCGCAGGCCTACCTGTATCACCGTTTGTTAAATATATTAGCAGATATTTATATCTGTACGGTACTAAAGCACCGAGAAATAGAAAGTAGACACCCGTGTTTGATGGTGGCTAAAATGACACAAACAAGAAATGGTTATTCGATGGTGATGTATCTGATACGGGTATCATAGTTGTGTTTTGGACTTGCCGTGTTTCGGCGTGTAAACTGCAGCCACGACGCATATCGATACAACGCAACGTACCTCGAGTACTTAAGATCACATCAATAAGACGAAGCTGATAGTTCATTTAAAATATTCATATAAAGCAAGGAATGAATGCAATACTGCGATATAAATAAGGTATTTTGATCAAGCAGATGTTCATGGGTTTCTGCCAAGTACTGTCAGAAAGTTATTCGCATTTTTCTGAAGTCATATCTAGATCTGTATCAAATACCGTAACGTGCTTACGTCCAAAATGAACCAAAACGCCCTTTGTTTATATTTGGTCAACACACACTTAAATGTATATCCTAATGTAAAACGTAAACGTTACGCTCATCTTCATATATTATAAACCCGAAATGTGTAAAACTATGACGTGTAACAAGATAATCGTGGGTAACCTACGTCATAACGGCCCATCTGGACACTGACCCACCACAGACGTCACGTGACGCGCCTAACCATAACTACAGATGGCGAAAAGTGTACATCTTTCAGCATTTTTGTCTGTAATCGTTTATCAACAAAAAGCGTGACTCTCGCTACAAGACACCCACGGTAACAGGGCGCAGGGTCGCTCCCAGGTGTTGAAGGAAATAAATACTACTCTTTTGAGCGACGATGCCCTTGCCTTGTTCTGTGTAGCAGTGAGTTTATTGGCGGATATTAAGGATCGTACACATTCCGGTAGATGAGTCATACAAAACGAAAGACTTAACATTTGCGCTCATGTTCTAGGCGATATGTTTATATGTTTATATATAACTGGAGGGGGTGGTGTTAGGACATGTGACCTCACCTTAGAATACCTTTGGTAAAATCTTTTTGTGTCTGTATGACGTCGAGTGGGCGATGAACAATGATCGTCACTGATGATATAATGCACTTACATATGGTACGACTATCATATCCAGAATATGTCGCCGGTAGCAGTATGTAACTGCTCACTGAGAGGTAAATCCATTGATCCAATATGATTCTATCTTGATAGTGCAGTGCAGACAAACTGACTGACCCCGATAACCGGACCTCGCTAACCCGGACTTTCTGCCCTCCGGGCGATGACTGTCGTGAACATTTACATGTACGACAAGGAATATTGCTCTGTTAATCCGTGATTGCTCAATACGGACGAATTCAGTTGAACGATACGGTCCGGGTAATCGAGGTTTCAGAGTATATTACAAGTATGGTCAGACGTATTTACTAAACAATCCATAATCTAGATGTATAACAGGTGACGATAAACATACAAAGCAAAGATATATCACATTTTATAATATTCATATTATTTTCTCAACTTAAATGCCACCATCCTACTGTAGGCGTGGGTGCTCTCGATATTTTATATTTAGTTCTATTTCACACAATTTGACAATATAATGTATGTTAACTACACCAAGTCTTTATGTCAAACTCCATTTGGCACTGAGTAAATCATGAAACGCTGACTACACATTTAGGTATTGGTTGTTAGCATATGTCTGACGCGGAACAGTCAATGTTCTCCATGACAGAATTTGGCCACTTGACTAATTGTAATTTAAGGGAGTAGTCAGATAACCACCATGTACATATCAGTATAAGTAGACCACTCCGCTGTCTGTGCGGGTAGTAGTTGTATGCATGTCTCTGATGGAAGGTGTACATTTCGCTGCATGACAGGTTCTCTGGTGTATGTGATGAAGTGAACTACGATGCTGATTTCCCATCTCGCTGTAAGGACATTCTGAGAGCCGTGCATGTGCGTGACTACAGACAAGGAAGGTCGAAGGTAGGTACGGCCAATTTGGCGTTCCTACTTCGTTCATGTGACAGAGAAACAGAGTAAAATTACCTTGAAAGGTAAAGTAAATAGTTTTCATTAGTACCCTGTTTGTGATCCATTCAAATAATTGTCATCACTATTTTTCCTTTTACCCAAAAGGAATCTGTTTTGGTGGATGATCGAGAATGGTTTATCTCTGGAGGTGCGGTTATATATCTAATACGCCCCGATTCATGTATTCATTAAGTTCTATAGTCGGCGTGTTAACGTTAACGTCGACGCCGCAATGGCACTGTCACACAGTGGAAACATTGAGTTGACTATGCAAGCGGTTAATTTATGTATATTTCACTCTCGTGAATATTGAATATTGGAAGAGTTCGATTTAAGTTAAATTAGTTAATCATTATTAAGAAGTCGAATATAAGTAAAATTGTTATAAATACGGCTCACTTTAAATTGAATGTAATAACTGTTGCGTAAATGTTTTAGGACTGTTTTCAGACATAGCCACGTATTAAATGTGGACATTATTTGTAAACAGCAATTACATACTTTACCTGCAATTAGTTTCTCTTAAATATGTAATGTATAAAAATACGCTCAGTTCATTTTACGTAGTCTTCTTCTGAAATAATAGGACAATTTAAATATGTAAATTTGATAAACTTGAAATAATCTATTCTGATTTAGTTCATAATTATTACAAGACAAAAGCCCTCTTCAATATATTTGAAAAAGAATCCATACATGCTATGTTTCATCTGTGGTGACAAATATTCAGTTTCATTTCTAAACACACACTGAAAGGTACATATGTTTTATTAAATGTCTCCGTTCAGTTTCTCTATGTTTTTTCCTCTCATTTAATGACGCATGATTCTACACATTTTTTAAATATGCATTCAACTTTAAGTGGCTCTAATATGTGATCATGTTTCTTGGTTTGTCAGCACCATACTCGTGGTTGTTGGTTTCACCTAAGCGGTAAACGTTTAAACATGCACCACTTCGGACTGACACACCGTGACATAATACATGGTTGGAACTGGAGACAAGATTGACATGGAGTTCAAATTATATTATTTTTTATTGCAATGTACATTGTACATGCACAAGTACCTTTAGGATACCTTGTTTGAATGATGTACTTGTGTCTGTACCGTCATGCATTTGATTGACAAACACTTTGTCAATGAAAACATTTCTTCAAAATAATTATATATTTTTCTTCGAAAGAACCATTCCTCTTCTTCTGTTGTGGAATCAAGGAAACTAGACTTGGTTTAGTTTGATATAGACTTGATTAATAAATTCCACTCATGGCGTAGGACTAGGCATTTCAGTACTCATTAAACATTCAGATATGATGGTTCACGGGTACATGCACATTCCGAGACAGACATCGGCTTGAGCCACTGTCCATTATCAATTAGTGGTGCACCGAGACGGAACGGACATGTTAATGACTCGAGTGTATGACTGATCGTCCTACATACCAACACTGGACATAAACATGGACTGACCTGACATCCCGGTCAAACCGACTGACCCAGTCTTTGATGACATCATACAATCAGAACATTACGTATTATATAGTGTAGCCACAAGTCTCGGAACCCACTCATTATGCCTTGATGCAATGACAATTGTTATTAGGTAAATGGATTTGTCGGAAGATCAGTGAATTATACGTAACTGAATTACTAGAAGTATCCCATTAACGTGTCTCATCATTTATCATTGAACATGATAATGATCACTGAAAGTCTATGATAATAGGAAACCGTCACCGTTCTAATCATCGTATATACATGAATGAATGTCATTATTTGGATGTCATTATTGGGATGTCTTAAATGGGTTTGGTGACAGATGTGTTCACATGTCTACATAAATATAAAACGTCAACGCCAGAGACTAACCAGTCTCGATTATCCGATGAAACAGATTCCTAGATAACAGATAACTATATGAATGGATCACTGAAAATCAGTGATGACACAAGTTGTTGGTGAAAAGAACTAAATCAGTATCTTGTTATGATCTGAACCATTCACAACCGAGACACGGGTAAAGGTTATAGGATGGAAGGATGCTTTTCCAAAAGCTTAAATTGCCTTTTATTTCTTGCAGCTTTTCCTCAAAATGTGGCATAAGGAACAGCTTGAGACTGCTCTGAAGGAAAAGGTAGGTCACGTGGGGTAATTCATTACTGTCAGTTGTCTGCAACACTTACAAGTTTTCACAAACTTTTTTATGCATCAGCGTCGTTAAATTGCCATGAAACCTTCACGTCACTGTTGAATCAAAAAGGACTGAAGGTGTAAACGGACTTCCTTATCGCGTTGATGTATATTTCAGAATATTTCTTGAGGTACATAATTATTTTTATCCTTAATTAAGATTAATTAACAATTCGTTTAGCTTTATGTGGGTAAACTTTCGATTTTAACACCTATGACAATATTTCTTCTTATGCCTATCTTGGACATAGTTTCACTTTTTCAGTTTCAGGAATATAAAATGAAAACCGTTTATTGGTTTGTTAGCCAATGAGATACAGTATACCCATTATTTTACTTTTGGAAAAGTATTGTTAAAAGTCAAATTAAGTTTACTAAAAAATGACATTATTTAACCTACAGCTATTATAATTAATACAAACAGTGACCTTCCATGTTCAACCCACATTGTTACAGTACGTATTGTTTAACCAATAGAGAGCCACAACAAAGTGGTTATATATAGCTGTCGCAGCCAATCACACTCATACCCCCTAGATATATAGGGGAATGTAGACTTCAGCACCATGTATTCGTCATTTGATTTATGCTCGCTTCGTGTCAACATAACCCGCAAATTTCCGTGATTTCCATGACGCATTAATTTATATCTTATTTCGAATACAGAAATAATTTTGACACCCTTACAATGAGAAAATCAGAGTTAATCCAACATCGTTAAACGTTAGGCAACAATTGGAATGTATCTGTACATTATTTGTAACACTGCCATATTGTCATGACATTGCGAGACATCTATAGGTGTGCCCCTCGCTCATATATATGGGTTATTCGTGTAGCGCTTATGGCTAAATACATTTGACTACGACAGAATGCATGGTTTCTTTCCATCGCCTGGAGGACATATCAGTCAGGACTAACTTCTGTCCATAAAATCCACATCGACACATACTTTTTCTCTGAATGTATTGCCGAGAGGAGTGAAATGTATCACGGAGTTCACATGAGAATTTGGGCCTTGCGTTTCGTTGAACCATAGTAAGTAAAGGGTTATTTAATTCCGCTTATTTCTGCAGTGCGATGGGGAATATTCTTTGTGTTAGTGGCATACAATAGATGTAATCATATTGATGACCTGTACCAAGTGTGTACGTTTACTGTGTGGAGTATCATGAGTAGGTCTTTTAACAGTATTCCAGTTATATCACGGCGTGTCAGCTTAATGTGGGAGAAAAGCCCGAAGTGATGCAGGTCTCAGCCGTTTACCACTTCGGTGAAACCCACGAGCACGGGTATGGTGCTGACAAACCTAGAAACATAATCGTGGCGAACCGGGATTCGAACCAGCAATCATAGGTTTCTGGCGTGCCCAAGGGACGCAACTCTGCACAGCGAATCGCGGCGCCTTAGACGACTGGGCCACCCGGGCACCCTTGGAGTATCATGATTACAGTTGTATTTGATGTTGTTCCCTTCATAACTTTTCCCAGTATGTGTCTATTGGCTGGCTGGGTGACGAGCGGAGTATAATCATAGGGGTAATAATACATGGCGGGTTCAGGTTTAAATACGATACGATTTTTGATTGATCAAACCGAATGTGACGAGGAGTTATTAAGCGGAAAAAAGTGCCACTCGAGTTCATTTTAATTAATCTTCATCTTACTGGATACAACATAATTTTGTTTTTGGATTCACCAGATCAAAGAGCGAGAGTTTCGCCGACAGTCCCAAGCATCCTTGCTGACGGTGATGAGCGAAGGCACAACCGAGCCAGACTACTATCACTCCACCCTCGGCTCGTTGGACAGCGGTAATGCCTCCTCGGATACCATTCACACCATCATGGAGGCTAACCGAGGGAAGAGGATGTCCGTTCCAAATCTTCTCAATGTTTATCCCACTCCGGAATTCTCCAAACGGAGGATGACAATGGCCAACATCTCGGGAGATCTCGTCGGGGGCTCCCTAGACCGTAAATTGTTCCCCACCAATCTGTCTGCATGTGACACAGACAGTAGACGACTCTCTGTGACCGAGACCCTGGAACAGGAGCTGAGTGAAAGTGTGTCCATGGTGGGGACGGATGCGCAGAGTCTGTACAACAGTATCGGGGAGGTGAAGAGTGCCACTGATGGGGAACACAGGATCGGGGAAGATGGGAACGCCAAGGAACCGCTCCCTGACCCAGAGGTTACATGTGAAGACGAGTCTGTGGAGTCTGATAAGGAGGACGAGGATGATCTCTGGTGAGACCCTGATCTGGTTGTTGTTAGCGTGTATCTGATTGGATTACATACTGTGGTCAGCACTGCCCAACTGGTACTGCCACGATCCCGGATGACCCATACGTGGGGAAATCCAAGGACCCGTGCATTATTTGGAGCTTGGGCCTTTCTCTCTGTCCCGAGTGATCTCAGGGGCAAATGTACCAATGTTGGTCACAGAAACTGACCATTATGGAATCGAGTGTCCTGGCTGGTTATGGGTCAAAGTGACCCGACGGCGTGGATCGTTGCGCATTCTGTTGCTCAGTTTGCTGATCCGGCACAATATCCGAATATTGCTGACTGCGGTGTAAAACAACATTCTCACTCAATCTATTTTTACAATGATGAAAACATGGAAATTAGGAAATAGTGGTACTTTTGCGCGGTTTTTATACAGATGACATTTACATGTTCCCGATATTTATTGTCCTCTTACGTTTCCACTCCAGGCGACCGTACGACGTCTTCCAGGTATCAGAACGAGATTTCGAGGACAATGACTCCATATTCAATAACATCCTGAAGGTGATCCGGTTATTCCTGTACCTCCTTCTGGTGACATGCATCCTGGGAGGGACAGTGTCCAGTAGATTGTCCCTGCTCCTCATCACATCCGGCATCAGAGATGTAGGTCACCGGGCAACTGTCCATTCAGTAGTTATAACATAAACTGCATCATCTACCTAAAGTGGTGCATTTGCTGACATTTAATTGCCTATTGTTCCTCGTCGGTTTGTCTTCATGAAACATTTCACACTGCCAGTTTCATGATATATTGGTTTATGTAGAAGTTACAAACAGTGTGAAATAGGTTTCAAAAATGAATTTAATCAAACTTTCAGAAAGCGTTTAATAGTAAATGAAGCTTATTATGATATCTAAAATCTGAAATGCGTTGGTGTTTACAAATATATGGCGTGTGTTCACAGAAAGACATGGATCGGCGTGGGGAAAGCATGGTCATCCTGCTCTTCTGTATATGTGTTCCCATAGCCTGGAACTGGCTCATGGCGTTCATGAAGATACTTTTCGGCGGAAAGGACTGGCCCTCGATAAAAACTGTCTTCATTGTAAGTCAGCATCTGCTTTATGGATTTGAGAGTTGTCACAAGCCACTGAAGTCCAATTGCAACTAACTGATATAAAGAAAGTGAAGAAGTCACTCTGTAATTTAATTTGAAAATTTTGATTGAATCTTCTTTGAATTAAGCCATTGGTCGAGTTGGTGTTTCCAGCTTGTTTGGATTCTTTTCAATCGTTTCGTTTGGCAGAAATGAATGGTCGAAAATCTTGACAATTAATTATGGAAGTTTAGGACATAATGAAGAATTTCTGTGTTGATGGTTTCATCATAACATTTTTTTATTTTAAGGTCACAATACTAGAGCTTCTACAGACCTGTGGCTACAGCTTGTTTGTGTTCAAAGTACTTCCCAACACAAACTTCTTCTGGGGGATTATCCTGACGTTCGCCATGTTCCAGATTCCGAGTCTTCTTAATGTTATAATAACAGAGAAGAAACTCAAGCCTGAAGTATGGGACTGTCTGAAAATTTTCTGTGCCGTAATAGCCTTTGTGACACAATTCGGCGCAGTGTGTTTCTTCACGATGACTACCTTTATAACCGATGGCAAAAACATTGAAATAAACGGCGATAATGATGAAGACAGCAAACAAACTGAGGTCACATTCACACAATTTGACTGGCAACTTCCTGTGAGCCTCGTGTTGGTGTCAATTGGATGGTGGGAAAACTTTCTTTGTGGTGACTGGTCAATATTTGGAAAGGTCAAGGTCTCCTTTAAACAATGGCGATCTGTGCTTCATGAGGTTCGTGAGACAACCTATTTCCTTGTGGGCCCTCTGAAGATCGGTCTCGCCATTCTTCTGGCTAGATTCCTAACGAAAGGCAACTTTGTTCTCCCAATGACTGATGAGGATGTGGAGGACAAATCTGTCCACCACCTGACTTCCTACAGTTTGATGTATCTTCAGATTGGCTCTGGCATCGTCGTCACGTATCTGGCTGGGATGGCGTGCAAGTTGCACATGCAGAAGACGGCGTTCGCTCTTCCCCTTCTTCTCTCGACGCCTATAAGCCTGATGCTAGTGTATCTCCAGTACCGCTTTCACTTCCTCCCAAGTAACTGGCACGTTGGCGCGTGGTGTTTCCCGGAGGAGTTTAAGGACATGGCACTTTACATTCCTTTAGGATGTGCAGGAATACTGTGGATTTCCTACTGTTTCATCGTCTCTCATGTCTGGTTCCCCGAATGTGAAAGAATGGCAAAGATTGAAAAGTAAGTACGTGTGAGAGGAATATTTCAGTCATATCACGGCGTGTCAGCTTGATGTTTGAAGAGAGACTTTAGGTGTTTACCACCTTGGCGAAACCTAGAAACAAAATCAGGGCGAACAGCGATCACTGGCACGCCTAAGGGAAACAACTCTGCACAGAAAACTGCGGTGCACGTGTTTCAAAGTAATGACTGTGCATACGATTTAACATATATGTTTGCATGTTGCAGTGTAGTAAAAATTCATGATGTAGCATGACAATAGCGAATATACCTAAAGATAGTGATGTACATCTATTTTACTCTAAAAAATAGTAGGTGATGTTTTGCATTCTTTTATGACAGGCTCTTTGTTACACCCCACTACGACGGAATTTTCCCCGATTTCAACCTCACGATGCGACGACGCTGCAACGACAAAGAGGTTCGCAGCAGTCAGCGTCTTGCAGGGGAGGGTGGCAAGGTGGACGTGGACGACTACGTTACGCCGATGGTGTATGTCTGTGCTACGATGTGGCATGAGACGCGGCAGGAGATGACCCAGCTGCTGAAATCTCTGTTTCGGTAGGTGTCGTGTTAAACCCCAGCATGTGAGGGAGTATGGTTTTACGCCGCTTTTAGCAATATCACGGCGGAGGACACTAGAAATAGGTTTCACATATAATACCCATCTAAAGAAATCGAAGCCAGGTCTTCGGCACCGCCCAGCACTTCATGACACAAAACAGGGTCACTCATATTTTGTTGCCCTTTTTATCTGGAATTCTATATAACCAATGACTTTCGTAGCCACGATGGTAGATATGAATTTGTTTCATTATCGAAGTGTTGTTATATCCGACTTTGCGTTAACGATGCAACATCAGAATTAATGTTGAGTTTGTAAGAGTTTGAGCGTGGGTGAGTGGAGAATAAGGCTTAATGCAGCATTGAAACGTATTTCGGTAACGGTTACATCAAAGTAGGGGGATGCCTAAGTGACGCTGATCGTAGTAGACTTTTACCACTTTGATCAAATCTAAGGACACGGGTAAGGTGCTGACAGGCCAAGGGTCAATATCTTGGACTCGAACCCACGTCCAGCTGATGCTGGCAGCCACAGCGTGTTACGGTGCTTTGGCTACAAGTAACCCTTTTAGATGGTCAGATCTTTAATCGCCCTGCTGGTTTTAATTATGTATGTTATAATTCTGGATATTCATGGCAGTGCTGACACTAATATTCACGTAATGTTTTCCAGACTTGACTACATGCACTGTGCTGACACTAATATTCACGTATGTGTTCCAGACTTGACTACATAGACTGTGCTGACACTAATATTCATGTATGTGTTCCAGACTTGACTACATGCACTGTGCTGACACTTATATTCACGTATGTGTTCCAGACTTGACTTCAGGCACTGTGCTGACACTAATATTCACATATGTGTTCCAGACTTGACTACATGCACTGTGCTGACACTTATATTCACGTATGTGTTCCAGACTTGACTACATGCACTGTGCTGACACTAATGTTCACGTATGTGTTCCAGACTTGACTACTTGCACTGTGCTGACACTAATATTCACATATGTGTTCCAGACTTGACTACATGCACTGTGCTGACACTAATATTCACGTATGTGTTCCAGACTTGACTACATGCACTGTGCTGACACTAATATTCACATATGTGTTCCAGACTTGACTACATGCACTGTGCTGACACTAATATTCACATATGTGTTCCAGACTTGACTACACGCACTGTGCTGACACTAATATTCACGTAAGTGTTCCAGACTTGACTACTTGCACTGTGCTGACACTAATATTCATGTATGTGTTCCAGACTTGACTACATGCACTGTGCCAGCAAACTCGCCCAGCAACAGTTCCACATCCGAGACCCGGATTACTTCGACCTCGAGAGTGAGTAGAAAGCCTGCTGCACAACTCGGCTAGTTCCGCTTCCGACGTACATACAATACCCCGAGCAGAACGAAGTTGTGATATATAATTACACAGCGTTCCCTGCACCGCCAGACCATGCTGCACGTTGTGACATGGCGGCCAATTTTGAAAATGTCTTTCGTACTCTCATTGGAGAAAAAATAGAAACCTTTTTTCACGTCTTTCACGACTCGATAGTTTAACAGACCAAGTATTGCTTCCTCTCTGTATGGATATGAGAACATCTGGAGGATTGAGGCGAGTGTAGATCTTTTGTGGATAAATGACACGACATGTCCAGTGCTCTGTAGTGAAAAAAAACGTGAAAATATATGTGAAAATGATTATTTGAGTGAGTAGGATTCTCTACAGCTCTCAACAGGATTCTAGAAATATCTCGGCGCGATAGAAAATGGTTATCTTTGCATCTTACATCCATAGTTGATCGAACACATCGATACAATTGGACGGGTGAACCCAGCAGCCTTCATAACTGAAATATTTGCTGTCAACAGTAATTCTGCTTTCGATTGACCTGTACTACTTCACTGTTGCGCTCTTTTAACTAAGATTTACAGAATAATTTGACCGTGAGTCGTGTTTAATTGTTCACAAAGTTGTATGACGGGCGACTAAAGCTCATAACTAACAAGGTTTGCGTTCAGCCTGCTTGATGCTGACTTCGCCCGGGGGGGGGGGGGGGGGGGGGGCAAATATTTGTGCAAATATCACTTGTCCCCAACTTGTATTTTCATGATTCAAATAAAACTGTTTTCTATAAAAAAAAAAAAACCCGGCTGGATACGGCGCTGAATAACCATTATATTCTTAAGTGCCTAATAGCGTGCAGGACTTTGGTATACTCTATCTAAATGGCTATATATCAACTGATTTTTTTACACATGGAAGAGACGACGTCAAATATTAATAACAATTTTGGATAATAGAGTGCTCCTAGGCATAAATGAGCGTTTTTCATCTACGACGGACAACATATTTTTTGTGGGGTAAAACTCATTTTCGTGGGAATAGCTCACAGTATCAAACGATTTTATATGACATTGAGTGCTCTTTTTATATTAATTATGCGGTTTTATAAGAAAGGGTAAAAAAAAACGTTGGTATGTGTGTCTAACACACCTGTATTTATGTATGTATGCACGCACACTGGTGTATATAGCTGTCAATTATACATGAGCATCCAGTGATTGATGGAAAGGTCTAGGTTTCTCAAACAAAGACTGTGTTGGTGCACCTTTCTTAAATAGGATACCTGCCAATCATAATATTAGTCCGGAGGACGGTGTATTGTAATCGCTTAAATCACACGATGTCAAACTAAATCATAAAGTTGTTTTGTGTGCCTCACGCTGTCGTGCCAAGATAACTTTGTATTTTTAACATATCCTTGACCAGTTACCACTGATCTTCACAAACACAATGCCAGTCAAGAAATTAAATTTGTTTCTCATGACTTTATTTTGCAAAAACTAACTGGGTAGGGAAGGCGATGTTATTACTTATTTTACAACAGGTTTCAAATCTATAACAGTAAACTTGATTCGATGTACCGCGTGACCTCTGTTTGAGGAAAAGATTTATATCTGGTGCAAAAACACATGTATAAATTGAAAAAACAAATTGTTCATTAACAGTGCGTAAAATACACTAAAAGTTAGAATTGAACACTTATTTTAAAAAGCGTAATACAAATAGCATGGAGTTGTAATGCAACATTACTTACGAATTCCTCCTTAAAAACAGTTTTGTTGTATTAAGAGGTAGGGGTTTGAAATAGGAATGCACATAACACAGATAACAATATGTGGTTCTCACAACATTTACTTTGCCATTTTATTAGAAATTGAGATGCTAGTTCCGAAATATCAGATTTCGCAACTGTAAAAAAAGACAAAAGCGACAAAACCCTTTCCATGTTCATAATATACCGATTATAAGCAATTCCAGATTCCCCTGGACGTAAAAGGAATATTGGCAGTGAAAACTGTATGAATGGGTCATACAAAATGAGTGATAACACCTGGTGTTCGCGGAAAGGGTCATCATGACATTGTCCTGTCCTACCGGTTGCAAATCTACCGATCAGAAATCTCTGCTACTAGCAGAGTCGATTGTACGTTTCTGACTATATCGTGTAAGCCATGTTACGTCATGATTCCTCATTGTGATAGGATTCTAACATGGTGCTCGGAAAGGTGAACCTGTGTTGTTTGTTTGCAGTTCACGTCATCTTTGATGATTCCTTCGAGCTGGATGAGGAGAAGGACAAATTTGTGCCCAACAGTTTCGTGTGTCAGTTGATGGAGGTCATGGAGGATGCGGCAAGGTCAGTAAGAAGATGGGTCGGAGTAGGCATGTTGCGGGGTGGCAGGGAGCAGGGTGATATGTTGCAGGGGGAAGGGAGTCAGGGAGCAGGGTGACAGGGAGGAGGGTGGCAGGTGCATTGGTCAGGGTGGCAGGAAGCAGGCTGGCAGGGAGCAGGGTGGCATGTTGCGGGGTGGCAGGGAGCAGGGTGGCATTGTTCAGGGTGGCAGAGAGCAGGGTGGCATGTTGCAGGGTGTCAGGGGGCAGGGTGGCATTGGTCAGGGTGGCAGGGAGCAGGGTGGCATGTTGCGGGGTGGCAGGGAGCAGGGTGGTATGTTGCAGGGTGGCATGTTGCAGGGTGGCAGGGAGCAGGGTGGCATGTTGCAGGGTGGCAGGGAGCAGGGTGGCATGTTGCAGGGTGGCATGTTGCGGGGTGGCAGGGAGCAGGGTGGCATGTTGCAGGGTGGCAGGGAGCAGGGTGGCATGTTGCAGGGTGGCAGGGAGCAGGGTGGCATGTTGCAGGGTGGCAGGGAGCAGGGTGGCATGTTGCAGGGTGGCATGTTGCGGGGTGGCAGGGAGCAGGGTGGCATGTTGCGGGGTGGCAGGGAGCAGGGTGGCATGTTGCAGGGTGGCAGGGAGCAGGGTGGCATGTTGCGGGGTTTCAGGGAGCAGGGTGGCATGTTGCGGGGTTTCAGGGAGCAGGGTGGCATGTTGCAGGGTGGCAGGGGGCAGAGGGGCAGGGAGAAGGGGGTAGGGAGTAGGGGGGGGGGGTATTCTAGGGTGTGTGTAGATGGGTGAGTGACTCAGTAAGTAGGAAGGTGCGTGACTCGATTAATTCGTGTGGAATCCAATCTAGCTTGTGTCACCAAGAGCGAGCCTATTGAATGTTTAAACACTAGAATACTCCATCAACGCTGACAGTCTGACAGTGACAAGACAATACACATATACCTATATATCACTCTGTTCCAGGTCTGTAGTGAAGGGTCCCATCACCATTCCGTCCCCCGAGAAGGTCAACACTCCCTATGGCGGGCGTCTTGTGTGGACAATGCCTGGACAGACCAAGCTGATTGTCCACTGCAAGAACAAGAACAAAATCAGGCACAGGAAGAGATGGTCACAGGTAAGACATGCTGGCCGCATTGCGTGCCTTGAAATAAACACAAAACACTGCATGAATCTGTATGTTACTCTTTCCAGTGTCATTGTCACCTCCATGCAGGTTCCTTCTTTTATTGGGTCAGCGATAATTGTGTTTAATTGTTATACGCTGACACTTCACTATAACCAGACCGCCTCTTGGTCTAGTGGTAGAGCGTCCGCGCGGAGAGCGGATGGTCGGGGGTGGGGGTGGGGTGGGGTGTGGGTGGTGTCGATCACCGTCCAAGTCATACCAAAAAACGTTAAAAGATGATACTTTTTGTTACCCTGCCTGGCGCTCGACATTAAAGGGCTTAAACAAGGACTGGTCGTCACGGAGTCAGTATACTGTGTATGAGTGGAGTGTTCATCTGAAACTGCGGCATAGTATCATCACCATACAAACGGTTTTAATCCAGCAAAACACACACACAGCACACACACAACACACACAACACACACACACACACACACACACACACACACACACACACACACACGCACACACGCTAGCACACGAGCATGCACATCGCTACATAAGTGCAATAATCTTCATATGTCAAAATGACAGACTACAAGAGAACTAATAACTCATAGTTATATGACTTTTAATAATTTTCGAAACTTTTTTGAGGCTCTTCAAGTTTCAGGATGACAGTTAACATGTTAGGTCAAACTTTGCCAGAAATACATTAGTAGTGTTTGATTTCACCTGCATGTCCTGGCTGTTCCAGTGCATGTATCTGTACTACCTGCTGGGCTTCCGTCTCCTCGGGGGGAAGGGGGCCAACAAACAGATGGAGGAAGAACACATGGAGGAAGAGAAAAAACAGGAGGAAGGTCACGTGAGGAACAGGAAGAAGAACAACAAGAAGAAGTCGAAGAAGAAGCCAAAGGGAGTCCCACTGAAGACTCTGCTCATGCGCATGCCCCCAGATAAATACGAGAAGGTCAGTTACACTGCGTGAAAACATAAACTACACCTATGACTTCTGCGACGATGTTGTTTTGCTATTATTATTGTAATCAGTGTTATTATGTTTAAGATATTGGATACATGTTGATTGTTTTCCGCATGTTTATAGTAGTGGGTCGTCTATTGCTGGAAATGTATGGCGGTATCAAATAAAACCCAAAAAATAATGTAAGTGAAGGGATGTGATGTGGTTAAGTCCCTTCCAGACTCTTTACATCAACACGCTCTCTGTACATACATGTAGCATATAAATCATTCAGGTATTGAACATCGATACGTTGTCCACACCTTTTTTCGAGGTATTTTTCGTGACGTAAATTCTTTGAATGCGTTTTGGTAAATATAAACGTCACCGCCAGAGAATAATAATTCTCGAGTATCTGCCGAAACAGATACCATTGGGCGTAAAGGGCTAAATAGTGGTGAAAATAGATATGGAGGGACACTGAGTTGTAACAATTTCCAGAAGGCGAAGTATATCACAGTCGACCAACAAGAAATCACTGTTAACGATCGGATCCTGGCATCTCCCCTTTCACCGACATGTTTGGTTTCTCGTTTAGACACAGACGAAAGCACTTATGTGCGTTACCAGCCAATGTAAATCCTAGGTTTCCAAGATACCGAAAGTGTCATATCTGATCTCCGTTTGTCTGTCTTATGTATTACCGGTCCAATCATGATTGCTGCTTTTACCTACATTTGTACTTTATATATTCCTATTATTATTTTGTTTTTAACTGAAGCTGCACACTTGAACGTATGCCAGACACAATGATACTCGTCATAATACAGTAAAACCTCGTCAATCCGAATACCTCTTCCGAACGATTACTGTTAAAGCGCCTCATATACAGAGGAACGTGATTCCTTACTGAAGAGTCGTTTATCCAAGAACAGCTTAATAGTGAAGATTTCACGGTCTGTCCAGTTTAACGGGGTTTGACTGTACAGTTAACCATGTGTATTTCAGATTCTACAGAAAGCGGAGAGCACGTACATCCTTACTCTGGACGGGGATGTCGATTTCAGACCCGGAGCTGTCAAACTTTTGATTGACAGAATGAAGAAAAACAGGAAAGTGGGTGCAGTCTGCGGACGGATTCACCCCATCGGATCAGGTAGCTAATTTCATATCAGATTTTTAATTCACTAAATGTTTCAATTACATATAATTTATGACACGAAATAACTCTTATTAAATGTTTTTATTTTATTAATGCTGTAATGGATCACATAATGATAACTGCTCTCGTCTAGACCTATTGCAACACATTCATATCGTGACTAACATATCACAATTACTGTGGTCTAATAGATCATCTGTCCGGAGAACTGAAGGTCAGTGGTTCGATTGCCATGGCCGCGTATACCAAAACAAGTTAAAAGATGATAGTCGTTGTCTCCCTGCGTCCTATATTCTGGGGATAAAACAAGGATGTATTCATGTTAAACTGTGGCATGGTATCTCAGTGGGCTATAAAACCGGCATTAGTGCGAACCAGTAAAAACGACCACACACACTTGCATGCACGTCGCCATATTAGTGCAATATCTTCAGCGTGAGGTTTTGCCCAATTTCGCCTCAACTCACTGTACTGTACGAGTGAGTGAGTGGGGGTTAACGCCGTTTAGAACAGTCTTCCAGTTATATCACGGCATATCAGTTCAATGTGGTAGGTAAGCCCAGATCGATACAAGTAAACTGTTGTATACGTTTGCCTCTACACTGGGGTCCACGAGCACTGCATGGCATGGTGATCCATCCAGATCCCGTGACGATCCGGGTTAGAATAGGTCTTCAGCAACCCATGCCTGCCGTAAAAGGCGACTATGCTTGTCGTAAGAGGCGACTAACGGGATCGGGTGATCAGGCTCGCTGATTTGGTTGATGCATGTCATCGTATCCCAACTGCATGGATCGATGCACATGATATCAATCACTGGATTGTCTGGTCCAGACTCGAAAATTTTACAGACCGCCCGCATATAGCTGGAATATTGCTGAGAGCGGCGTTAAACAACAAAACAAACAAACAAAGCATGCATGGCGTTGTCAGCCGAGGCATCATTGTCGGGGTAAATCTGGGATTCGAACCAGCTGGTCCGGACACGACAAGCCGGCCAGCTGTAACTCTCACATAATGTTACATATCGTGTACTAACCACTCCGTCTTCTCCCCAGGCCCTATGGTATGGTATCAACAGTTCGAGTACGCTATTGGTCATTGGCTCCAAAAGGCTGCTGAACACGTGTTTGGGTGTGTTCTGTGTTGTCCCGGGTGCTTCAGTCTGTTCCGTGGATCTGCCCTCATGGACGACAACGTGATGAAGATGTACACCACTAAACCCACCGAGGCTCGACACTACATACAGTTTGAACAAGGTATACTTCTATTTACTGACTGAAATTATGTGTTAGACTAGGGAAGTGTAATTGTTGTTATGGGCAAACTTGATGGAAACAAATTGCAACTAAATGAATGAAATTTCCTGTAGCTGAGAAATGGACTCCTAAGTTTCTTTATATGCTTCCTATTTACTACATCAGGGTGGATTTGGGCCTGTTCAAGTAAGAAAAACATTTTATCTTTGCGAGGCAATATTTGCATAAGTTTATTCGGACAAAGGGAACCCAAATATAGTTAAAATATACTTTTATATGATGAGGGAGCTTCGTCAGTGACTCTAAAAACGAAGCATAATGCTGATATGTATATATGCTTGTGCTAGAATAATAGACAAAACGTACACTTGCGTTCGTATATATGGTTCAAGATGAAGTAATACAACATATTATACCCACAGGTGAAGACCGATGGCTCTGTACCCTCCTTCTCCAACAAGGTCACCGTATTGACTACTGCGCAGGCGCTGACGCCTTGACCTTTGCCCCGGAAACGTTCAACGAGTTTTTCAACCAGCGCAGACGATGGTCTCCTTCCACTCTGGCCAACATGATGGACCTGCTGTCTTCCTGGAAGGACACAGTGAGACTCAATGACAACATCAGCCGTCCCTACATCCTGTACCAGTTCATCCTAATGGCCTCGACCATCCTGGCACCCTCCACTGTCATCCTGATGATCACCGGATCCTACCACTCTGTGCTGGGTATCGGGGTCTGGTGGTCCTATCTTTTGTCCATGGCACCAGTGGCGTTGTACATCTTCATATGCATGACACAAAAGAGCAATATTCAGATTGGTTCTGCTGCAGTCCTGACGGCTATATACACAGTGGTCATGATGATAGCTACAGTTGGAACTATCATCAGTATTGCTACGGAGAACTTCAACAGTCCGAATGTTGTGTTTCTCAGTGGATTAACTGCCATCTTTATCATAGCCGGTTTGCTTCACCCTCAGGAGTTTTTCTGTCTGGTGTACGGCGCACTCTACTTCATGGTGGTCCCCTCAACCTTCATTCTTCTGACAGTGTTCTATCTGTGCAACTTGAACAACGTGTCCTGGGGAACTCGCGAAGTGCCGAAGAAGTTGACGCCGGAGGAGGCTGAAATTGCAGCCAAGGCAGAAGAGGAGAAACAGAGGAAAAAGAGTAAGAGCTTCTTCAGCATCCTCGGACTCATGACCTTGGTTCAGGAGCTGAGAGATGTCATCAAAGGTTTAATGGGTCTTAGGAACGAGATGGAAAATGCCAACAAAGACGAAGAAAAACAAGAGGAAAAGAACACAGATAAAACAAAATCGGACAGTCAAGACAGTGTAAGGCCTGAGAAGGTCCCAAAACATCCATCCGGCTGGGAACCCGATCCTGATAACCCCTACTGGCTGCAGTATGAGAAGCTTGGCAATGGTGGCGTTGATCACATTGATGAAGATGAAACTGAGTTTTGGAAATACATCCTAAAGAAATATCTCCACCCCTTAGACGAGGACAAATCGCACAAACAGAAGATCAAGGACGATTTGTTGTCCTTGAGGAACAATGTTGTCTTCATCTACCTGATGCTGAACTTCCTCTGGACCATCATAACTCTGCAGCTGCAGACAATGGAGGCACAGCTGAAGACGTTCTACATCATCAGCAAATATGAACCTCTGTCCCTTATCTTCCTGTCAGTGTTCGCTATCGCCCTAGCACTCCAGTTCTCTAGTATGTTCATACACAGATGGGGGACCTTCCTTCATCTCATGTCAAGTACGAGAATAGATTGGCTGAAGAAGACTCACACGGAAGAAGACTTTGCCAGGTTTGTGATCAACGAAACACGACGGCTGCAGACACTGGAGCCGGATCTTGAACCTGACCCCGATTACGGTGATGATGACGACGACAACGAAGATGCGTTTACGTCAACGTTTAGCGACACGAACATAACAGGAGATGAGCTTTCTCTTCCTGATCAGGATTATTATGAGACTGTGCACCACGTGCGTGATCAGACAATACGCAGGCTGCGTAATCCTTCCCGTACCACTGTCCCACTGTTACAGACAATCTTTGAGCAGAATTTGAAAACTATGCAAAACCTTCATAAATACAAACACGGGACTCTCGCGGCCAGGAACAGTGGGAACAGGTTGAGCAGGAGCGAGAGTCACAATCGCCGTGTTTGGCCGAGAGCGCAAGAATTCCGAGACAGGCTTTACAGCAGAAACAACAGAAATGACTATGATGATGACAGGTTCACGGGCGTTCGCATTGTCTAATGGAACTGTCAGTACTAAGTCGTCCGTTAATATATTTATGTTCTCCTGCTTCTAAATACTTGTTAATGACATCAGAAATACGTTTATATAGAGCATGTGGACAAGCTCGGCAATGAAAATACAGTAAACTACGTTTATATCAAACACGCTTAAAACGAACTGATAGATATAACGAACTGGTCTTTTGGCCCAGGCCATTTGCTGTATGAATGCTGTATATATGCCTATAACGAACTACGATCACTACTACCACTAAGATAAAGTGGTCCCTTTGAGTTAAAACCATAGTTTACACTACCACCATTGAAAGTTGGAACAACCACACACAAAAACTGGTATTTGCAATTATGGTGAAACGAAATAATTGTTATGTGTTTTTGGTAAAAGTTGACGGATCACTTTTACCGTTTTATTGCATCATCATTATTTTGATTATCATTCACAATCATGTTTTAATACAATACTGATGCACGGGACATTCTTAAATAGGATTGGGTGAAAAATTAGCATCCAGAAATCAACCGTTTAGGAATGGGTCTGCAAGAACGTTAGGGTCGGGTGGTGAGGGGACACAATGCTATTTTATGTGGTCCAACAAAAATCGAAAATCTTTTAAAATTTAGGTAATCGGAATTTTACGTAACTTGTTTGTTCAGACTGTCACACTGTGTGATTCATGTATACTGCTAAAAGGTTAAACAACTTCCAATATATGTACACAGTTCTCTGTCAATCACACACAGTCTTGTAAAGTAGAACTTGGATTTCATCTAGAAATATCGAGCCCAAATCCTTTGTACGATATTCTGGTATCGTAACATTGAATGTTTATTAATTTATCAGAGGTTGATAATTTATTGTATCATAAAATATCAAAGTTAATATATATGATGTGTATATAATACGAGTTAACAACAATCTCACCCAAGTGTACTATATCACTCGTTTAACTACCGCTATAGTCCATGATAACATCGTATGTAATGCATGCCTGACACAGTCCATGATTCGCAACGTGCGACGAATAGCTAAGATTATTCATTCCGATTTCTGATATTTCACGACATGGTACGGCCCGGGCTGGTGGAGAATGTAAGTCGTACCTTGTTAAATGCATTCTAGTGCTAAACTGTAAAATAAACTGCTATATATAACTGAATCTGTCTGTTATGTGTTCTAGTGCAAAACACTTTTCTATTGTGCTTGTTTGAGAGATGAAATACGGGACTTGTCCATATTGTTTCAGACGATCAATTATTTCTCTTTTCGGGCCATTTAGTCGTATAATTTGTTGTTTAACGCCTGACTCAGCAATATTCCAGCTATATGACGGCGGTCTGTAAATAATGAGTGAGTTGGGTTTAACGCCGCTTTTAAAATTATTCCAGTTATATCACGGCGTGTCAGCTTAATGTGGGAGGAAAGCCCGAAGTGATGCAGGTCTTAGACGTTTACCACTTCGGTGAAACCCACGATCACGGGTATGGTGCTGACAAACCTAGAAACATAATCGGGGTGAACCGGGATTCGAACCCACAATCATAGGTTTCTGGCGTGCCCAAGGGACGCAACTCTGCACAGCGAATCGCGGCGCCTTAGACGACTGGGCCACCCGTGCCCCCCGGTCTGTAAATAATCGAGTCTGGACCAGACAATCCAGTGATTGACATCATGAGCATAGATCCACGCAATTGGAATACTAGTAGATGCCATCCTCAACAAAGTCAGCGAGCCTGACTTCCGGATCCCATTAGTCGCTTCTTACGAATGGCATATCCGCCTTTTACTGCCATATACATTGCTGTGTATAAGAGCATGGTCTTACGCGGCTTCCGGCAATGCTGATGTCATGAATGGATGCCAACAAGGGGCTTCATATACTGTACGGGAATCAACACCTGGTTTTGATTTTGCAGCGATCCATGCATATATTTGTCACGACTGTTTTGCCTTTTACGCCAAATAGCATCTGCTTCGGCAGATAATCAAGACTGAATATTCTCTGGCGCTGACGTTATATATTTCATGCAAACTTGTGGACATTGGCATTGATTGTCATTGTGATGCATGTTTGTCGGGTTTGTTTACGTATTGTGTTGTTATAATGTCATTAAAAATCAAATCTAGATTGTCAAAACATATATTTACTCTGTGACACTTTAAAGGGGGAACACACAAACACCTCCATCATTTCATAAATGTGATCTATTATAGATTATAATAATAGATTATGAGTGAGTGAGTCGGGTTTCACGCCGCTTTTAACAGTATTCCAGTTATATCGCGGCGTGTCCGCTTAATATGGGAGGAAAGCCCGAAGTTTACCACTACCACTTTTACCACTTTGGTGAAACCCACGAGCACGGGTATGGTGCTGACAAACCTAGAAACATAATCGGAGCGAACCGGGATTCGAACCCACAATCATAGGTTTCTGGCGTGCCCAAGGGAGGTACCTTAGAGGACTGGGCCACCCGTGTCCCATTAATAGGTTATGAGATAACAGGAACATCATAACAACAGTAATTCGGCTGTTCTTTGAAGCGGCCGTACAATATCGACCAATACCTAAACAGGTATTCACAGCACGATATAAAACTTCAACGCCAGAGAATAACCGTTATCCGACGAAAAGAGTTTCCATTTGGCGTAGACGGCAAAATATAACCAAATAATAAAAGACGTCGTGTATGCACCAGTGAAGTGGCAGGTTAGATATGTAAGGCGTTACAAAGGCCAACCCTGGGTGAAATAGACAATGTTCACATGGAAACAGTAAATGCGGAAGGTGGTGCTATTGCAAGGATTTTACTGGTCGGCGATTGTCCCTGAAGAATAGTAACATGGATATACCTCACTAGTGTCCATTCGGGATCACTCGGCTTATTCCGTTAACCACTTAGTACCTCGGGCACCCATGGCGTAGGGATATTGCGTGGTGTCACTGTAAACTACATATACTGACCGACCAATCCGTTCGTGGATGATGGCGGGTTTTGAGAAAAACTTTTCTGTGGTTGATAAAAATTGTGTTTATACATAATATCCAGCAACGTTTATGTAAAGGTCACGACTGCAGCCAGGTTGTTACGTTCTGTGACAGTCACCTGAACTAGTAAAACTGGTAGATCGAGTTTCAATATGGACTCCTTCCAACGCTGACCGAGATTACCTTTTGGACGTGGATGAGCTATAAGGCCAGATTTCTTACTGTTTTGGTTTACGGATTTTGGTAGTGAAACGTTTGGTCGGTAGGTCGAACAAAATGCATTCAGAAACATGTAAGGCCTTAATCGGATTATTATGATTGGAGTCCGCAGCAGTTTCCTCAACTTAACAAGCTAAATTCATACAACTGTTCGCAGACATCGGTTTATTTTATTCATTCGATGGCATTATGAATGGTTTTGGAAGGTTTCCAATAGTTGCTATGAACCCGTTCTTGGATTATACCGACATACATTTGCCATAACGGTCCTTCGGGTAATGTTTGGGATCAAGGTCATCGGAAGGAGCACACTTTAGTCCTGGCCCACAAGGACACAGGCCGTGGTAATTTGGGGCAGCGTCGGAGTACTGCAGCCTCAGTGAGCACCATGGGGCGTCCATAGATTTGTAGGGCAAACAGTAGTTGACCTCAAGAGGGAACAGTTGGCGACGTCGCCCCAGTGCGGGCGTGATGGAGCAACACAGGGCGGTGTTGTTACAGTCGGCGTTTGTCCGGCATTGTTCCCATGACGTTGGCTTCCAGTCGTCTGTCTGTAAATAGAGTGCAAGAACTTGTTGATGCTTCCAAATCAGCATGTCTTTCTCATGAATGGAGTGAGTGAGTGAGTGAGTGAATTTAACGTCGCTTTGAACTGTATTTTCATCAGTTTTATCACAGTGCGTCAGCTTGATGCGCGAAATGAAGCTCGAAAAGCCCGCACTCAGCAATATTCCAGGCCAGACAATACAGTGATTGATATCATGAGCATCGATCCACGCAATTTGGATACGATGACATGCTTCAACCAATTCAGCGAGCCTGACCACCCGATCCCGTTGGTCGCCTCTTACGACAAGCATAGTCGCCTTTTACGGCAAGCACGTGTTGCTGAAGATCTATTCTACCCCGAATCTTCACGGGTTAAATTGTACAGAAGTCAACCTTTAGGTATCATACATTATTAAGTGATTTCGGCACATATGGTGGCATATACAGAAACAATAGTGAGAAATATTATAATTCTTCTTGGTTGCTGAAGACCTACTCCATCCCGGATCTTCACGGGTGTGTCCGAAGTGAAGCAGATCTTAGACGTTTGCTACTTTAGTCAACTCACGAACACGGGTATGGTGCTGAACCTAGAAGCATCAGGGCAAATCTAGGATGCGAACCCACGATCGTAGCATGGAAGCATGGAGTACAGGGGTGGTGGCGCCGCATCTCGTTGCACCTCCATAGGTTCCAGGATCCGCACTCCGTGAGTTTGAATCCTAGACTCGGCCCGATAATGATATTTGGTCTGTCGGCATCATACATCAATGTTAGTTTCACTGACGTGTCAAACCGACCGATAATACTGAACGACTGTTTAAAACTGCGTAACATCCAGTGCACTCACTTAGACAAAATGTCAACCTTTGTTTGACGTTTCTGTACTAGTTGTAACGCTTACGTCAGATGTAGAATACCTATTTCTGTAACATCAGATGGATGTACTATACCTATTTCTGAAGCGTCATGAGATAAAAAAGATCTCCTTTCGAGAAACATTAATGCTTTCATGAAAAAAAACATCAATTAGTCCAAGCTCCATTATATATTCTATGACCTATGAACATGTGATTGCTTTGCTTTGTACGTATATGTGTCCGCATCACAAGAAAACAGAAAAAAATATTTAAAACATGACATTAGAAACAATCGATAATAACTCGCACTTACAATGGTTCTCGGATTTTATGTCCAGGAATCCCTTGACAATAACTCTGTGATATTTATATCTCGTTGTAATAGCAACGCGACGAGGGGAAACAAACACAGTATTTTTTTTATAAAACACGCACAATAATTAAAACCTGTAATTGAAATGATGTTACCTTGGCAACAGACAACAGTGTTAAAACTCCAAGGAAAACTGTTTTGTTGAGCATTACGTGTTGTATACTTATTTTCAAGTATCTACAGAACTTATCTGAGTTCGTACACACTCTTTGTCATCATCTGGCTGTGTTCACAAACACTCCCTGAAGTGTCACAGTGAGGTCAAATTTGCTTTGTTATCTTGGAACCAAAATCCCGTTTACGTAAACGTGGATTAAAATTAACATAAGTCATAAATCAGGGAGTTTCGTTTCACACCACCTTGAACCGTGTTTCGGTTACATCACGGCGTGGCGGCTTGTTGTCAGATACAAGCGTTTGGTAAATGGTAACGACGCTAATGACGTCAACGTTGCCGGACTACTTTCCCACTTTTTGACTCCCGGGAATACTGTAGAAAAAAAGTGGTAGTGCCATCGTGAATGTAATGATATTTGAGATTCTTTTATCTTGAAATCAGTATTTGCACAGGGCGGGAATGGAGAATCGTGTATGACAAAATATTTTTCCAGTGGACAAAACAAATATATGCTGAAACCTTCGAGTCTGTGTCACAGAAATATGATCCTTCTGTTGTGGGTCTTTTATTTGAGTTCAGCACGTATCAGATACCGCTATGTAATCACCTTTAAATGATCGACCTTGGTTCGGCAATGGTGATTAACAGCTAAACGACACACGTTAGGAAACAAGACGTAGGCCAATTCGCCCGTCAAGTTTATCGTGTCAGCCATTTTGACTCCGTTTCCTTACAGTCAATGTATCATTGACTATTTGTTTGGTAGTTTCTTGACGAATCAAAAGATCCTTTGCTCAAATATCTAACCTGACTTAAAAAATTGTTGATGCAGGGAACAATTGAAACGTATCAACCACAAAACTACGTCACAGCACCCTTTGGAGCCTAAATGTCATAGAGTAAGGCCCAAATTCACTCAAACGGTTAAGCTCTGAATTTACTCATGTCTATATTTCAATATAAGATAGCGACGCGATAAATCGCAAAGAACAATGAAGAATGAAGTGTGGTTTATTTCACGATAAAACTTTGTTCTATTATGACGTTATTTCTGGAGATTCGAACATGCGCTCGCATCTTGATGACTTATTTTTGAGAGGGGAGTGTCTAGTGAGTTGCTCCCGTTAGATGTAGCTGGGCAACGCAGTTAAACGCGATGGCCGAAGGATCGCATCCAAAAGCGGGAAAGATGTTATCGGTATTGGGACAAAAAAGTACAGGTAATCGACGTGAGGATTGTGAGCAAATTCGGGAAATACCAAACTTACCCCGCCTGTTCGTAAAATCGAGTTGTCCGACATTTCCGAGGTCGGATCCTATTCAGTGAGTCATCATTATTAAAATTGGGGTAAATGTGTTTAAAGCTTGTACATTTTATCAACATCATTAAAGAGGCTGTACATAATGTTAATATCTCATATAAGAAATAAACTTATTTCTTAAATATAGCGTCTTAATCTACTATGTACACAATCATGGTTGTTTTTTGTACACAGACCTGTATATTTATAAAGGTATACAATAATGGTCATATAAACGCTTTTAAGCATACAAATATGTATATTGCTCACTAGGTAAATTTGGACGATGTAAGCAGGACATGCATGAATGCATATTTGTTTCAGATGTACTCTTGGTCATATCAACGCATAACATTCACCCATGCATATATCATCATACAATTACATCTCAAAGACGAAGGGACCCGTGAATATCCGGGGTAGAATAGGTCTTCAGCAACCCATGCCTGCCGTAAAAGGCGATTATACTTGTCGTAAGAAGCGACTAACGGGATCGGGTGGGCAGGCTCGCTGACTTGGTTGAAGCATGTCATCGATCTCAATTGCGTGGATCGATGCTCATGATGTCAATCTCTGTATTGTCTGGCCCAGACTCAATTATTTTACAGACCGCCGTCATATAGCTGCGGCGTTAAACAACAAACAAACAAACAAAATCAAAGACGAAGGACATATTCTATAGGAGGAGGAACGTTTTTATTCACAACACATCTGTTCAGGACATCTAGCGTGCCCACCCAACATTAACTTTATCAAAATGTCAAGGGTTTCACGAAATAAAGACATGAGGCTACAGTTAAACCATGAATGTATACATAGAGAGAGAAAAGCCCAGTCGTCTACGGCGCCGCAATTCGCTATGCAGACCTGTGTTCCTTAGGCGTGCCAGAAACCTATGATCGTTGGTTCGAATCCCATTCGTACTTTTGTTGTTTTTATGCTTGTCAGCACCATACCGTGCTCGTGGGTTCCAAGAAAATGATACACGTCTATGACCTACATTACTTCGGGTTTTCCTCCCACAAATGCCCCTTCGTGACACAATTAAAGTGCTGTTCAAAGCAGCGTTAAAATCAACCCTCTCGCTCCAAATCCTTAACAAGGTTACAAACACCATAGTCACTGTAGTACAACCCAGTCTTCACAGTATACATTACACAACAGTTCCTGGTTATTTTACACACTGAATGCAACACAATGATGTAAAGCGTAAAGGCATGTGTCAAAGAACAGACGATTTCGTACTTTCCTAGGCCAGAAATGTCACTAATCAGAGGAAATAAGTGTCATTATTTATATTTATTGTGATTAAATGTCCACGTAGCCCGAACACATCATTAACGTTAACCGGAAAGCACACACACAAAATAGCTGCAGCCGTGGGAAGATGTATTGGATGGTCACACGCTTCGTCTCCTCGCAGTGGTAGGCTTTGATCGTAGTAGCAAGTAAACTCACTAATCAGCCGATATTATGCCTGACATCAAGGCAGGTAGTTTGCGAAATGTCTTCCTCACGAAGATAATGTTGCCATGGTTACGAAATGAACAATGCGTTTGTGAATGTAACCTCCGAACATTAATGAACCAGCTTAATCCACCTGAATGCATATACATGGGTAATCGATTGGTAATTACCACATTATCATTGGAAACAGTGATGCACAGAGAGTTCAAACGGACGCTAATACAGAAAAAAATATTGTCAGAGAACAAAGATAAACTGTTGAACTGACTCGGGCTACCCTCAAGCTCTAAGTAAATAAGGCATCGTTAATGTGACACGGTGTAAACACAGGTTATTTGTTATGGTTGTATTTGACGAGGGACGTTTTTTTACCCGTTAATATGAATTATCAATAATGCATGTTTTTGTCTTACATTTTCTTGTCAATTCCACCTGAGGTCATGAAGCTGTACACATATGGGATGCACTAGAATGAAGACACTAGATTACAACAGTGCTTATTGTGATATATTCAATGTAAAACAAACACGTGTGACATATATCTATTTTCACGTGTGCACTTAAGTAAATGTAAGTGCTGATTTGACAACTGCAGCCGGGGGCGGTGGGGTAGCCTTGTGGTTAAAGGGTAGTCCGGGTTCGAATCCCAACATGGGTGCAATGTGTGAAGCCCATTTCTGGTGTCCCCCGCCGTGACATTGCTGGACAATTGCTAAAAGCGGCGAAAAACCATACTCACTCACTCAACAACAGCTGGTTTTTTTATTCACCTATTATGTCTCTTTCACGGGGAGCGAACGGAAGTGAACTTCTGAATGAATGACCAAAGATTAGTCCAGCCTTTTCGAGGTGAACATGGATGAATTGTGTGCACTTCTATAAAACGCATGAAACTTGGTATAACGGTCATTGGATGTTACAGCTCCAAGATCAGCAGGATTACGCATCAGTTACGGCTTCACGTCAGCTGTCGTAGGTCATAAGGAGAATGAATCGGCCGCAACGCCACTTTGTCAAACTTGCAGCTCTTTACATGGTACACAGCTTCAACAGTGATACCACACCACATGCCTTCATAAACAGGGCTCATGTGAACGCCATCGGCGTATCTTCACTCTGCTTATATAATACAATATCAAAGTATATGTATAACTGAAAAAATCAAAGCTTCTGTATAAATCTTCATGTATATATACAAACCAAGCAACTGTCCTCAACACGAATATTAATTCTATTCTTCTTACAAATCCCACTCCTCTTTTGGAATACCCGTTGCAAATAGCGGCTGTAGTGTCTTAAGCGACGGTGTCATATTTATATGATACAACGCTAAAGTTCGGGACAAAACAAAATTATTCTACACGTGACAGAAACTTGATATGACAAGGGAACGAACTTTTTGTCTAATTTTATACCCAACCCTGTTAAAGTTTTAATAACACCCCAAGTTTTGCGTCCTCTCCATAAGGAACGATATGCGTGGTAACTGTACAAGTGCTTGGTGAATGGGATGTTGACCGTATAACCTATTTAAGAAAGACGTTGCATGCAGAATATAATGTCCTGGATTAATGTATCAAAATGACAATGATAACATTTTGAAGTGAAATAACTGTTTACTCAACATGTTATGTTCATGTGTATACGTTTATAGAATTTAACAGTATTTTAAGTACTTATATTATCTTAACAGTTTGAAAATCTATCGAACGTTTTCTGGTAGGAGTCTCGCCGCAGTTCAGTCGATGGCGGGTCGTCATGGTAAAAGTAAAGTGCGCACGTTTAAAGTACATATAACGAGAACAAGACAAGACAATGACTACATGAACTAGAGTTATCAGGAACATTCAAGGCATTTTTTGAACGGCATGGCTGTTTATGCCTCGGCTAATTTTCATCCGAAGACGAATCGCTGATAATTATGAGGCGCTGTTTGATTTGAGCCGAACACGGTTTCGGGTCATTGCGAACATGAGCGTGACCCGAATCAATGCTGATGTGGAAAACACAACCATATATTGGACCCGAAAACACAGTGCCGCCAACCACTTCGAAATTGGGAATGTCTTTGGAAATGTGCTTTAAGGCGTTGTTTGCGTGTGAGTTCGGCGCACAACTGATCTCAGGGGGAATCTGGATGTAAATGATGGAGGTGCGCATGTACTGGCGGAAAGATACCACAGCCATGGACCGTGACACGAGGATCTTGCTCATTTCTTGATGTTGTTTGTCGGACAGTGTGGCGTAGGAGTTGACGGATGCAAGGTTTTTGTGTCCAAACATTTGCATAATGTGTGGGTGCGAGGTCGTTGAGCGTTTGAAGCATGGTCTGACGTGCACTACAGTTAGTCAGACGT